TAGTAGTTGTCAAGTTCTGGACTTTAATCCATGTCTTTTTTGAGTTCAAATCAGCCCCTCACAACGTCCTACAGTATATTTTCGCCCTAATGATATCATCATTTCTAAGATTATCATCGGGAGATATTCTCAATATATGGCAGGAATGTGATATAGGACGTTGTGAGTGCAATCTTGTAGGGGTTGATTTGGTCTCGTCCTTTTTAGTTTGACATGATTCTTTTAAAATTATACATTGTTCTCCCATTATTGAATCGCCTCCTTTTGCTCTTAAACTGATCAATCAAGGTTCTCTTCTCCAACCGGGTCGTGGGAGACTTGTACTTTTGGGTTTTGACTTTGAAAAAGTGGTTAATTTGACCAGTTCAACTTAAATGGTCTTTCTGATTTGACTCGGATCATCTGTGACTGTCTATACTAACATGCCACCACTCCTCATTACTTGTCTTTATACACATATCCATTGTTTATTAACTGATGTGTACACCACCTAGCTCTGTCTGTAATGTCAAGCAGTGATAGTTTTTTCTTCACTGATTGGATTCTTTACATTGTCATTGGTTGTGAAAAATGTATGGATGAAAGGAAAAGAAAATCTAAAAGAAAGTAACTTTCCTTAGTCTGATTGATAAGAAGATAGAAGAGATTCTCTTTTATCTCCTTTATTTTCTTTTTTGAAAGGTGGAAAAAGCAGAGAAAAGCGAGAGGAAGCATCATCGGGCCCATCCTCTCCTAAGAGTTTTTTTTTTTTTTTTCTATTTTGTCTTATTTTGTCTTGTTTACTTAGCAACCAAAGTTAATGTTAATCTTTCAATAATTACCCTAGTTACATAAGTTTAAACTTTTCTCATGTGCTATAGTCATTTGTCTGAATAATAAAGAACAATGGTGAGCTATATTAGAAGAAATACTACTTTGAGGAGTTTACATCTGTGCCTCACAAGGGGGTACTCCACAACGTCCCACAGCATATATTGAGAATATCTCCCGATGATAATATTAAAACTGATGATGTCATCATTGTGGGGCACAGATCTAAACTCTACTTTGAGTTTGATACTGATCCACAAGACAACAGAGATAGAAACAAAAGCCAACCAGTAAAATTATTAAGAAGGTTTCATTGAGATCAACCTCTGTAAACTGATAAACATGCCACTTTCGAGGGTGGACCAGTGGTCCTCCTTATAGGACTAGTGTTTTGTTTGCAAAAGTATCATCTAACATCTTTTGTTTGTTTTGTTCCTTGTAGTGATATTTCCCTCCCTCTACTCTTTATATTCCATTACGAGAAAAGAACTTAAAGTATTAGGCCTAAGCCTCTAGCCCTGAAATTTGTGGGCCAAATGCAGGCCTGGGCCTGAACAGAAAACCTAGGTCCAAACTCAGAATTTCCGTGCCGGGCTGAAATGATCACCCCTCATTCAACCCTTCTTAAAGGATCTAATATCCAAGGTTGGTTTTGATAGGGGTGATAATGGGCTGAGCACCTTGGGTTAGGGACTTAACCTCGGCTCTAGCACTCAAATTTCAACGCCTGGTGCAGACTCTGGTAGGATCAAGCTCGGAAATTTGAAGGATGGCTTCGGTTACTGAAGTTCTCCATAGAACAACACAATAATTTTCTTAGAAATACCTGGTCTCTAGTGCTCATTGCAGAGTTTTCATGCTAAGGGCAAAGGCCTAAAGACCCAAGTTGAGACATCTGGACCAAATCATTGGACCTTGCATGGAACTCATAAGAGAAAATGATACAATGAAATGCATCAGTAATAGAATTTACCATACACTTGATTTTACTCATTCTTCATAAAATCTTCACACTGTTGAATCCTAATAACCAATCTAACATCTTTTGTTCCTCTAATATGTTTCTGTGCAAACTTTGATTGATAATTAAAGTTAACAAGGATAAAGACCTTGTTTAGTGGTCTAGGCTGTAGCACTACATCCCTTTATTAACATGCAAATACATGAAATACCCCCAAGAAACTTGCTGGAATAGCAAAGATGTGAGCAAAAGCTTTCCATTCCAACTAGTTATAGATAAGCTAATAAAATCTCCCCCATGCTCTATGTCTGGACCCTTGAATTTTAAGCTGGTGACTGGTTAAACCAGTAAAACCATGAGGTCCAAGACCCATTAACCTTCTGGTCTGGTTTTCTGTGCAGTCCAATTCTGAGAACACTGTTTAGACGAGAAGCTTTCCCTTGTTTTATCTTCTTTTCAGTACCATTTTTGGAGTGAAACCCTCCTTGGCTTAATTGGAAAAAGAAAAGGTTCCTCCTACTCGTTGGCTTTATGAGTAAAAGATTTCAAATGACAAAGAATAAGGGGGAGGTGGACTAACATTCAATTCATTGGTAGTTGACAGGGAAATGAAAGCCATTCTATTACAGCCGGATGTGGGCATGTTTAGGGAGACCTTTCCAAAAGAAAAAATACAGACGGATGGCTAATAAATAATATATAGAGAATAGGAACATGCACTTGGTTTATGCAGACACTTGATTCTTTTGTAATTAGCAATAAAACAATATGACAACTACAGGGGTTTCAGTTGTAAGTGATTCATGTGTGCTACTTCTATCAATGGTTTTGGGAATCAGAAGCACTTGAACTCTGAGAGTGTTGCAGAAAAGATTAAAGTCAGCAAAGACAGCAATATGAATTAGACAGAACAGAAGATGCAATCTTTATTGGAACACATGACATCTTCTGTTTGGTATCCCTTCTGGTTCTGGAGTAGAAATATCAAAGCACAGGAGATGGGTGTTGCCGTGTTGGAGTTAGAGGACAAAGAAGGATTAGTAAGTTATATATATGGGGCAAAACGCCAGGCTGGTTAGGGTGTTAATGGAGGAGTGAGTTGCTTCAGCCTTAGTGGACCCCTAAGTGGCTAACTTGTTTCTCTTGTTGCTGGTTAATGTATTTCTGCTCTGCTTAAAAGCCAGGAATAGAAAGCATTTAGTGCATTTAAATGAAGGGTCCCCCACCAGCAGCAGGCCCACAGCCACACCCAAAATGTCAAAACTCAAAACAAATTTCCATGCTTTCAGCTTCGGTTGAACTTGAAGACAATCAATGTGGGATGAGCAATTACAGTTTCCAGGTGTCATGTCAATATGTCATCACGGCACGAGAGAGAAGCTTTTGAAAAAGCCCAGGCTTCCCCAGTGTTCAGTGAGGAAGGTAGCTAAGCTGAAGATTAGCTGCTGCACGTGCTGTGGCTCAACAGGGAATTAATATCACCATTCACCAGTACGGACTACAGAGTCGATGAACAATTCAAACCACATTACACATATATGGTTGTGCTTAAGTAAGCTAACTCAAACTCAAACAAGGGGAATCAAGCAACGGATCTTGTCGTCAGAGCAATAATCAGTGGATGTTGTTCTGAGAGAGAGATACAGTAGCCCCGTGTTGTGCTGATGACTGCTGAGCCTGAGCCAGAGCACCAAACTACTTGATAAAATGAGTCGTGTAGGTCGTAGCAACTTGGGCGTGGAGACTGGAGAGGCCAGCCTTAAACGACAAAATAAGAAGGGAGTTTTGGGTTGGTTAATGATTTAATGTGTGTATATTTAAGCTGAGAGAGGGCCCTCTTAGTCTTAGAGATGGACTCGTGAGTCGTGACTGTTCCTTCTCCTACTTCCTACTTGTCTAATGATCTAACCTACTTGGATATACTTACAAACAAAACACTCCTGTGCTGGTGTGTGCTGTCTCAATGTAGACAGGAGATTATTCATTATAACTATATATTTATATATACCTCTACCAGCCTCCCAAGCCCAAGCCCGTGTATAAGCACGGACTATCTGTTGCATTACATGTGGCATGCAAGTGTTCTCTGCAACAAACAACTGGCATTTAAACAGGTCCCCCAAACAATGCATTTCTTAGGTGGGCATGACTGATTTTATTGCTTTGTCTTTTCATAAATCATTTTCAGAGTTGTTTTTGAGCAGTCCCTAAGTTTGCAAGTGGGTTTCTCCTTCTCGGCTGGATTTTGTTTTTTGTTTTTTAAATATATGTAAAACTAGATGAAAGTGAAAATTTTAGAAAGGATAGAATTAAGAATCCGTAGTCACCTAAGAATACTCTGAATAGATAATAGACAAAGATAATTTGGGTATATTACATAGAAGACCACTAATTACACTAGTCTATTATACATTGAAAGGGCTAGAAGAGCTCGAAATATATCAGAAAATGGACATGGATAGAATTAGTGATAAATGATTTAAATACTTGTAATTTAGCAAAACAGAATTTATATAACTGAACCCATATAATTGGAATAAGGCATAGATGATGATAATGCAAAACCAGGATCAGACCATATGGGCCGGACTATTATCGTAACCCAATTGGCCAAGACTGGTCTAACCATAGACCATGGGTTTACGGTTAAGGGATGGATATCTATGAATGAAGTTACCCTTAAAAGGAGAGAGAGAGAGAGAGGAGGGGACAAAGACAGCACAGTTACCTCCGTACCAAAAACACGTCCACATTCCACAGTGGAGAGAAGTCGAGAGTCCTCCAGATACGTTGTGGTTGTGTCCATTTCCTTTCTCTTTTCCTCGTTACGCTTTACCCTTATCTAGCTGTCAACCAAAATAGTGTGTTTCGCAATGTGGGCTTATCCAATTCTCCGAATTTAATCCAGCCCACCCACATAAACAAAAGCACGCGAAGAGCATCATTTCAACGCTTTTGTCTAAAGTAAACGCCCTGTCAAAATATATCCGTTATTTTTTTTTTACCTCTCTCAAGATTCTTTTACCCCAATTTTTTTATTTCCCAAAAAAAATAAATTCTTTATACAGCGAGTCGGTGAGTAAGTAGTAGAGCCGTAGAGGCGTAGAGTGTCCTTGTGCGCACCACCCACGTCGGGGGACACAACCACGGGGTGCGTGCGCATCTACGCATGGTGCGTGAGTTAGACAAACCTCGCTGCGAATATTAAATTACATCTTTTCACTTTATTAGCGAAGAGCTTTTCTTCACTCCATTCTCTTTTTGGTCAGCACTTCTCTCACCCACTGGCCACTACTAAAGATTAAGACCAAGCGAAGACCCATCAGCAGCAGCGACACGCAGATTTTGCAGAGAAATTTACAGTAAAATTGCTAAATGTCTAGATGGTATTTAATTCTTCACGTCCTTCGAGCTGATACGTGATACCCCCCCTCCTCCGACCCCTTTCTTTCCCATTCTCAAGCCTTGCAGTCACAAACCCTAAAAGAGAAAAAAAAAAAAGCCCTAAATGTATATGCAATCTCTCACAAACCCTAGCTAGAAGACATTAGCTCCAGAAGAACAGACAAGCAGATCGAGCTCCCGTACTGGCTGATAATGGAGAAGTTTTCCGTCTTCAGGTACTGTTTCTTCTTCGCTTTCTTCATGTTCTGCTTCGTGACAATTGCTGCAACACAGATCTCCTCTTTTTCACTCAACAAATTCGAGGCAAACCCTAGCTTTGACTCCAACATCACTCTCTTCGGCGATGCGGAGATCGTTAATGGCGGTTCTTCCGTTAATATTACTCGTTCGACGATTCTGAGCGCTGGACGTCTTATGCACAGTCTACCCGTTAAGCTTGTTGAGGGAAACCCTAGAAAGGGAGTGTCTTTCTCTACGTATTTCTCCTTCTCGATCTCCCCCGAAAATGGCGATGGCTTAGCTTTTGTGCTTCTTCCGAGTGGGTTCCCTTCCAAATTTATGGACGGGACCTCGTTTGGCCTCTCGCCGGGGTTGGGCACGATGGGCACTAGACTTCTCGCTGTTGAATTCGACACTTCCATGGACGCCAAGTTTGCCGATCCCGACGGCAACCATGTTGGGATCGACATCGATGGCCTCATCTCTGCCGCGGTGACTAACCTCTCCTCCCTGGGTTTGGTGCTCAACGGTGGTGAGAAATTGCATACGTGGATCGATTACGATGCGAGTTCCAAATACCTGGAAGTCAGGTTGAGCAAATTAGGCGACATAAGGCCATCTAATGCGTTGATCTCTTATCCAATCGACTTGGCTGAAATGTGGAAGGACGAAGAGGTGCTTGTGGGTATAAGCTCTTCCAGTGGAAATTCTTCTCAGACCACAAGCGTTTATTCATGGAACTTCAGGTTAAGACGGGTACCAAGCTGGATGCATTCGCAGCCATTAGATCCTCGAGCTTACTCCGAGCACAGTAAGCCCCTGACAGTCCGCAAGAAGAATGAATGTCTGGTAAGGATATTAACTGGGGTTATATTCGGGACTGCATGCGGGGCATTGACGACATTGATTGTGATGATATTGTTGTGGGCTGTCTTCGCCAACAGACGTCCGGTGGCTCCGGTAGAATATCCGGTGCACCCGGTGGAATTGGGATATGAGAAGATCAAAGTAATTAGAGAAAAAGCCTCCACAGACGATAAGAAATAGCTGTTGCCAGTTGCTTAAGGGTACACAGGGGATTGAATGTTCTCTCTGTTGTAAATTAATCTTCTTTTCTACTTGTAATTTTTTAAGTGCCTTCTGTGTGGTTATATTAATTTGATGCAGCTCATTTAGTATTCCTTTTTGAATGAATCTCCTCCTGAATACATTACACAAACTTTTGCAGGCTTGTAACCGACCCCCTTTAAGTTTTAACTTGTCAAACCCCAATCCCATTATTCTTACGAGCAATGATAAATGTTTTGACAGAGTGAAGCTTTGTGATAGCATCATTGTCTTGATCACTGCAATATAGATGGATGGTCTTCTTCTCTAGGTCCCTACCAAGGAAACTCTTAAGTTTTAACCGTTGAGGGAATAAAATTTAGGATTTTTTGTCAGTCTGATCCCTAGACTTAAACCATCTGAATGTATTTTGGGAAATCAGGGGCTCTCAGAGAGGGTTTCTGTTTCAAACTTAGTTTGGTGAAATTCCAGTCTAATGCGTGTGTGGTGGCAGCCTGGCAAACGAAAGAATCAGTGACAATGAAAGCGATAATGATGCTACCCTGATAATAAATGGGACATGGAAGATAGAATAGTTGGACCATTGGACCATTTCTCTTTTCTTTCTTTAAAAAAATTATGGTGGAGACCAGTGTAGGCAAAGGCATGATGTCTGGATGGATCTCTGTACCCACAAATTGTCACCATTGAATGGTGGGAGAGTTTTCTGGGTCTGGATTACTTGGGGTTTGTATAAAGGCAAAAACTTGGTTATGGGGATCCAGGACCAGGGATCATAACCCTACCTATCTGGCACCCATAACTTGCCACTTGGCCTACATTAAATGTTGTGTTCACTACCTATCTAGGACCCATAACTTGCCACATGGCCTACATTAAATAAATGTTCAGGAGCCACCATTCAATGGATCCCATGCTGAGGAGTAAGTGGTCCAAAAAGATCAGTTTGAAATCTTTATTCAAAATGCATCTTTTAGAAGAAAATGCTTCTAAAGTTTCATTTAAACTTTTGAAAGCCCTGAAAAATAATGCATGTGGACATGCGATCATGTTGAGGCCCCTAGACTTCAAGTGGGTCCCAGATCCAAGCATTTTGATGCAACTACACTTATTTCATGATTAGGATAATCTCCAATAGCAGGACCCACTTGAAGTGTGGGCTGGGTCACTTTGGAAGCCACGACTTGGGTACTCTAGCCCCACAGCCCACATCCAATCTCTTGTCATCATCATCATCATATATGGAAAGCGAAGTTGCTGTGCATAAACGCGGAATTCCAGAAAGGATTTGTGTTAACCCTTAACCGTGCAAGAACCTGTGTGAATTCAGAAAATCAACCACGTTTGGGGGGTTTTTCGTTGCCCACATGGACAACCCATTCGTTTAATTCATTTGGCTATGAGCATACCAAATGAATTATATGTTCGGCGTATTTTCTCTGTAAAAATTAACAAGACTAGTAATAAGACAAGGCTTGCACATGCAGGGCTTATCCTGTGCTCAGAGAAAAAATAGAAAAGGAAAGAACAAAAAAAGAAAAGGTAGAGGTCACCGTAAATCCTTTCAAGTTGGAAAAATATGGGAAAAGATGAGAAAGAATCAATAAATCCTTTGCGACTCGTGCCTCTCCTGGTTATTTGAAGGAGAAGCAGACAAAATTCAAAAAAGAGATTAGCAGCTTATGGGATTCCCTGGTACTTTCCCCACAGTATCAGAGGAAAAGCAGAAAATTCCAAAATGTGATTATATCTATCTCTGCAACATGTTCTCTCCATTGTTCTGAAAAGAAAAAAAAAAGGAAGGTAAACAGGAAGCAAAACCCAGTTCAGAGGAAAGAGATTCTCACAAAATCATTTAGAACATGCAGCTCTGGGTGAGAAAATGCTCTGCGGGACGTTGGAATAAAATCCAAATCATAGCCAATATAATATATACGTTTTTTTATTGACATGTATAAATGAATAGGTATTTAATTCTCGTATTTATTATCATGCATTTTCAAAAATCCATATCATTCATGCATCAAAAATTTCACATGGAAATTATTTATACTTTACTGTATATTTAAATAATAAACAAATCGTTAGCTAATAATATATTAGTGGTTAAATTGTTGATCCAGACAGTCGGACCGTTCGGCCTGCGAACCGTTCAGGTAACCGATTCTGCTTTACCTCAAATCTGATCCCTATCCAAAAACTGTTGAAAAAGTCAGCAATCTGTTTACCTGGGCGATTGAACCATCAACCCATCGACCTGTTTAACGGTTTTTAGTCATTTATATTTTTATTTTTTTATCAGAACGGCTTCATTTCTAGATTGTTTTTTAAAACCATGGGTTAAATATTAAAAATATGCAAGTTCTAGACACTTTTATAGAATCGATGAAGTAAAATAAAATAGAGCGAGTGAACAAAGAAACACTAAATTAAATGGACAAAACATTTGAATGCAAAGAATATATATCCAGCAGCATTCATGGCTGTCTACCTACTCAGAGACCAAATTTGGGTAATTGGTTTTGAATCTGCTTTTGCTTGGATTTACGTAGTTGCTAAGGGATCAGGCCCGATAGAACTGAACCGGTTATGTCAGTTTTGGTTCTCTGGTTTGTGTCTTGAATAATGATTGTATCGAGATTGTTCCTATTGTTCCTAACCATTTAAGACCCAAACCCATTATATGGTTAATTTTTTTTTTATGTTTTATATAATGTAATTTTGGTTAGAAACACTTGTAATATGAAATATAATGGTTATAGTATGAAAATGAAGTTAGTTTTTATCCCAAATACTAAAACATCCTCTCATTTTTTAAATTGGACTAAGACCTCCATGCTTTATGACATTAGAAGGCAAAAGCCTCCCCTATGTCAACATTCCTTTCAAATCCGTTAGCATTTGACATCATGTGGGAATTATTTTTTCTTAAAACCCAGTTCTGTCCATTATTGTTCATTGCTCTACTTCTCAGTGTGTCGCATACTCACAAACATGGTTTTTAAAACCGGACTGGACAGTCAGACTGGAAAAACTGGGAACCGATCAGGTGACTGATTTCGGTTTTCCCCAAACTGGATTTTCTTTAAAAATCATTGATTTTGGTTAATAAATCGTTGATCCGAGCGGTTAACCGTTCGAACGATTTTGACCGTTTTTATTTTTTATTTTTTTTATCAGAACGGGCTGACCATTCGACCTGATAACTGGACCCCTGACCGATTCAGTCTCCAATTCGATTTTAAAAACCATGCCCACAAACGTGATAGAGGTTTGCACTCCCTGTACCACCCAACCTCTAACATCTGCAATCTACAAACGACTACCTCTCACCAGCAACACCACCACACAGTATTGCCACTTTGCTCATCTAGGTTGATCTGGCTTGTTGATAGAATGGCTGCACAACACTATTTTGGAGGTTGCTTGCACTGATTTCTTAATCTAAGTGCTTCATTTGTGGGCAATCCAGAGGGTTTCTATGCCACTGGTTGAATCATTACCTCAAATAAATAAATAAATAAATTTGTGGTTGAATCATGAATGGGTTGAACGTAGCAGAATTGAGAATTTGAATGATTCTGGCAAAAGGTTAAGAGATGGGTTTGTAGTTTGTACATCGTCCCGATATAACAATTTAATATAATGGTTCATTGAAGGGGGAAATAGCTATGACTACATGCACGGGTGATATGGTTGTTAAATGAAGTTTTTGGAGGTTGGGGTGCATCCTGTTGCTATTGCTGATCAATGTAGAAGTAGCTGTGGCGGTGTATAAATATTCATATTCGTGATCAAATTGTCCTTTTTGTTGATTCTAAATCCCTTATTACTCAGTTTAGCCATCATATTTGTCATGCTACAATAAACTGGCTCATATATTGGTTTCTTTGATAGAGAGTGAATGTTTTGTCTTGAATGGGTTTTAGTCCCTCTAGATGTAATTTCTTAAAATTTATGGAATAATGGAGGATTAAAGAGTCATTTTATTATTTCTGTTAAATTTAGAAGGGATGTATTAGTATTTATCTTCAAATTTAGATTTAGAGGAGGTTTAACTCTTTTACCCTAATATTTAAACTAATCGACTATGATGCTGACAAGAAATAACGGAAAGGCTTGAAAAACAATCAAAATGCACGATGACTTAGCTTTGAATCAGCCACTTTGAGGAAACAACTGGGAAAAGCTTTTATGGACCATGGAGAGGAACCCAACGGCTCTGGTGTTAAACTGAAAAGGCAAAGGCAAGGCTAGCAACAACACGACGTGCAGCAAGTACAAATAAGGCAGAATTGCCGACCAATGGAGGAAACGACATAATGAAAATTAGGGATGCTAGTCCCGTCCATGGAACATCTTTTTTTTTTTTTTTTTCGGTAAAGGAAAAATTCATTCAATAAAGCATAAAGCTGAAACAGAGTTTATACAAGAGGTGTGTCTGTTACTAGTCTAGTTCAAAGACAAAAAATCACCAAGCCAAACTGGGGGATTACCAACCCGAGTCCCTTCGGAGTCTTGATGCTAGCCAAAAGATGGGCCACTAAGTTTTCCAATCTATTAATTAACCTCCACCCTACTGAATCAAAAGATTTCACTTCCTGCAAAATATCATCAACCAAAAACCACACTTCAGAAGAGATGTGTCTAGAATTAGACTAAAGGGCTGTCAATAGGATAGAGCTATCACTATTAACAGTAATAGACCAAAGTCCCAAACTGTTTGCTAGTCTAAGGACTAATAGAACTGCAGAAGCTTCTGAGAAAATTGCAGATCTTGGAACATTGTAAATGGCTCTCCAGGCAGTATGATAACTCCTAGTAGCGGTCTCCGTCAAGAAGACCCACTTTCTTCTTACTTGTTCTTATTGATCTCTGAAGCTTTCTCTGCTAATATCTTTGCTAGTTTAGAAGAAAAGAAAATTTCAGGAATCAAAATTTGCAAAAATGCGCCCATAGTTACTCACCTTTTATTTGTCGATGACAGCTATGTCTTTGCAAAAGCAAACTTTCAAGAAGGGGAGGGAATTCTGAGAATTCTAAATAACTATGAGAAAGCTATATGTCAAAAAGTGAACATCCAGAAATTCCTAGGGCTTCCAGCAGAACTACAAAGATCAAAGAACAAATCATTCGAGTTCATCATTGAAAGAATTGGT